TCGGACATTACTCAGGAAAAAAATTATCTTGCTACCCGCAGGCCGATTAGCGGTTATGTGTTTCCCTGGTTGCACACTGGTAGATGGACTAATGCTAGACATAGAACGAATAGCTACATCAGAAGAGTTCATAGAGGAACGAATCATGGCACTATTTTTCGAAGAGTCAGTAACATTAAGTACAGCGTCCGTAACGTGAATATTGGAATTAGGAACAAAAGTGGGTTGGACATCATGCTTGCGCTCACGACGACACCATGAAGTGCCGTCCTGAGCTTTCTCAGTTCACTGAGGCGAATTCTCTCTGCCAAAGGGAGGGATGGTCTAATGTAAATCTCCCTAACACGAAAGTTACGCAAATGAGACGCCTAGAGAACTAGGTAATACAACTTTAACAAGTCTAGGATTACGAGAGGTAAGCTTTCCCATTCTATAAAATGTGACTGGAGCACATTCTATATCAAGGAAGTGGAAAATCTTCTTGATACAATCGAACAGATGTGAAATTCGTTGCGTACAATCTGTACTATCAAACTCCGCGATGCCATGAATAACAATGGCCCTATTCATCTCAGAGTGCTCACAACAATCATGCTTAGGTTTGTAATTAGAGGTATTAGACAAAATCAGCTCTCCCGAGCATGCCTCGTTACTTTTAGCCAAGGCTTCCTTGAGAGAATTGATTTCCATCTTAAGACGAGAGTTCTCAGCTATTTCAGACTCTAGACGTTTCTCTAGTAAGCTATTCTTTTGCCTAAGTTCATCTGTTTCAGCGGCTCTTTCCAAAAGATGACCTAAGATGGTTTTTAGGTGAGGCGGAATATCAGCGTCAGAGTTCAAAGACCAATAGCGTCGACTAATGTTGATCCACCGTCATCACTGGGCGTCGATAATGGGGGCCTTCTTTTCACCCGTCGATCCTTAACAGAATGACGCCCAAGAGGAGTTTCCATTGATCAACAGAAAAAGGATGAAATGACCAACAAATGAAACGGCAAAACGCAATCAATGGCTGATCTTGAAGAACGACAGTGAATTCACTAACCAAGACCAGTGGCGTTGAATTCACAGGTTTAGATGACCCTCGCCACCAGGTGCTCGCTCAGCTCGTAGATGCTAGTGTCCGATAGGCAGTGAAGCGTTGAATATACGGCGAACAGCAAATGAGTCAGTCTGGACCGACGAAGCTCAAAATATCTAGTACTCAGCGAGATTATCGGCGTGAAATAGATAGAAATACTAGTGGTAAAAAGTAAAGCCGGAGTAAGCAGCCTGATATAGCGAAATAGCAGCGAATGTGAATATGATCACAGCGGTCGATGGGAATAGCACTTTCCAGAGCCGACCGCGCGCCACCACTGCAGGTGATCGAGTGCTTTTGCGGTTAGGTTGCGAGCATTGCGCAGGAGCACATTATTTTCACGGTGGTACAATATTACCTTTTTTGAAGGAAAACTGCACTTCCACCCCCAAACTGCCATGTGAGAGCCAGTTGAGTCCGCAGTGCACGAGAAGGGAGCTCGAGGATAGTGATACACGGGTGCCGTCTCTAATCTCCAACCTCGAGATCATGATGTCGGCACAAATGCTGTACATTACGTGCTGCATTTGCGCCGAATTATGATCTGCAGCGAAGCAGGCAGCGGTAGAGAACAATCAGAAGTGAGAGGGCGGTGCCAAGCAGCGCGTTTGGCTATGGTCACATGTGTGGCTGGCCAAGCACGGCTAATGCCGTTTGGACTCCAGCAATTTCGGCACCGAGCTCATTTTTAAATTGCCTAAGTCACCAAACCCGCTGAAAACATGTACACAAGGGTTATTTGACATCGTGATTACAATAGTGGCACTCTTCTTGGCGCTGGTGCCAAGAATGAGTGCGTAGCGCCTTTTCCAAGAAAACTACCTCTATAATGCACTACCATGCTGCAACATACCAACGGGACGCCCTACGCGCCGGCCCGGCTACAGATGGGCGACCGTGCTCGTACTGCTTCATTTGCGAAGTACACTGGTGTGCAAAACTTAGGGACGAGATGGATAAAGTAACATAAAACACTGACTGGGTGGAAGTAAATGAAAGTGTGGGAGCATGTTGCCACTCGCCTAAGGGATATGCACAGGAAGCTAGACTTTTCTCGGTGGAAGAAGAGCTTGAATAAAGTGCCAAATATGGCCGACCGCGCAAATCGAGGCAGTCTATGGGTATAAAAAAATTTTTTCTCAATCAACGAGTAGCTGCAAAGAACTGTGGTAGTATCCTTCGATACATCATGTCCCGAAGAGAGCATCTGGATGACTTCACTCGAGGAAGGATCATAGGGAAACTCGAAGAAGGTCGAACCATGACGAGTGTAGCCCAGGAGTTCGGTATCGCTCACAGCGTTGTTTCACGTGCATGGAGAGCGTTCCGAACCTTTGGTACTGCTGCCCGAAGACGAGGAGGTGGCCGACCAAGGACAACTACACCAAGGGACGACCGCTACATTGTGCAGCAGGCAAGAAGAGATCCTCGTCAGTCGGCTTCGGCTATTGCAACGACGTTTAACAGGACTCTAGGGCAAGCCATCTCACGCACTACAGTGGCAAGACGGTGGTGGTCTCTTCGCCCGACGACCGTTACGTTGTGTTCCTTTGACCCCCGCGCATCGGCGAGACCGTTTACGGTGGTGCCAGGAGCATGGCGAATGGACCGATGAGGAATGGAGCCGTGTGCTCTTTTCGGATGAGAGCAGGTTCAGTCTGAGCAGTGATTCTGGACGCACCCTCATATGGCGAGAGGTGGGAACACGCAACTCCCCCGGAAACATTGTCGAACGTGATCGTACTGGTGGTCGAGGTGTTATGGTATGGGGAGGCATCATGTTGCATGGCCGTACTGACCTCCAGATTTTTGAGCATGGAACCAGTCAGCGTTACTGCGACGAGGTTCTCCTACATCATGTCCGTCTTTTCAGAGCTGCAATCGGCCCTGACTTCATTTTCATGGATGACAATGCGCGACCGCATCGAACAGCACAGGTGGAGGAGCTTCTAGAACGAGAGGATATCCGAATGGAGTGGCCCGCCCGTTCCCCCGACCTAAATCCCATCGAGCACGTGTGGGATGCACTGGGTAGACGCATTGCAGCACGACCAAATGCACCAATGACGATCCAGCAATTGTCAAATGCACTGATTGAGGAGTGGAATGCCCTGCCCCAGGAACTCATTACCAACCTCGTGGAGAGTATGGGATCGCGGTGCAGAGCATGTATTGCTGTCCGTGGTGATCACACACCCTATTAGGATCCGTGTAACTTCTTTTGTAGTACCAGGATAAATCGTGAAGACTTATGTGTAATCGACATGGTTGAATAAAAATGTAACAATTCGTCTTATTCCGAGTTTCTGTCAGTTGCTTTCTGTACAATATCGTTAAGGTTCTCTCTTGATATGATATGAATTTCATCGAGCTATGTTGTCTGGCAGAGGCACAGTGATCGAAAGTTGCTTTCGTCCCTAAGTTTTGCACACCAGTGAACAATATGAAGCGAAGGGATAGATGGAAGCGGCCGCGGTGCGCATGGATATACGAGTACATACGCGCAGCCGTATCTACGTATCTTTAGCGGTTATTGGCAACATGCCTACGGGGAACTGGTCCAATGTTGCTTTCTAAGTCATTAAGAATTGAGGCTTTTCTTCGAGGGTTTCTGACCGTCTCAAATCGTTTTTTCCCCTTTTTCCCCACTGTGTAGCACTCTGCGAACATTTTAGACTGAGTTCCAAACTATCGTGCCATATAACTTCAAAGTGGACCTGTTACAGCATATTCGGATAGAACTTTCCTGCTTTAGCCTATCTAAGCATATTATCATTCCCCTGCGCGTTCCGAACATGATTTCGGTTTAGATTTATTGCATGTGAGTCAACACATGAGAAATGAGCAACGAGTTCGTAGTATAAATCTACGTGCTAGTAACATAAGCCTTGAAATGGCCACCACAACACTTGAAATACAACAACAGAGAGAACAATACAACATAGCGAGCATAGTACAAAACTGAAAGTTAGCTTAGTGGCCTCCGATGCCGATACTAAGAGAAATAAATAAAGAAAAAAAAGCCTCACTTGAAATGATGGTGCAAGAGATTTTTGAACTGAGCAATATTTTTCGGTAGCGTGGATGATTTCATCAATTTGGAAAACTGAGTGGCTGCCCTTATTGCAAAAAATTTAGTCCTGACACTTGTTTTGGATCTGGGAACTACGAGCTTATTCTTCTCTCCCCTGGTAATTGAGTTGCGGAGGGTGAAAAAATCTTGAAACTTGAGGCTTAGCTTTCCTGTGAATATCTTGTAAACAATGAGATCGAACATCTTACGTCTGTACGAGAGTGAGTCAAGGCCCAGCATCTTGTTTCTAACTATTCCTCTAGGAATTGCATTATAAAAACCAAGAGCGCGAATCAAAATTTTCCTCGTGAAACTATTTTGGACTGTTTCCAGTTTTCTGATGTCATTTTTAGAATTAGGGAAGAAAATGGTAGTGCCGTACTCCAGAACAGGGCGAATATAAGTTTTGTATGCTTGAAGAAGTACACAAGCCTTCATTAACAGACTCTTTAAAAGTTGATAAGTCCGCCTGCTTTATTTGCTACCAGTTTGGCTGGCGCACAGTACTGCGCGCCTGACTTGAGAAAGCAGTGCAAAGAGATTTTATTAAAAAAATCGGTGTTAATGCCCTCATCGACATCTTATCATCCTTTGTCGACTGATATGGCTCTCCGTTGCACATTATCAACATATGAACGTATCAACATTCCTAACCATATCATCAATTTGTGGATATCCTATTGATTTTGAATCCCGCAGGTCTGATACGTGGTGGTCACTCGACAGGTTCCAAGAAATTTTGGCGGTTGTTCGAGTAGTGGAGCTTACAGCTATTCTCATTTCTACACTTAATCTTCTTACTGGCTCTTCAATGATTACTTCCTGCCACACACTGTTTGCTTGAGAGTCCCTCCACTCCGCACAACATATAGAACTACACACATAACACTATAACATAGAAAACATACTGCACTATATAGAACTGCATTCGCACTGACTGGAAGGCGCGCAAAAACCTTGCCCCTTCTTCCGTATCCTTTTTAGAACTAACGATGACTTTTGCACTTTAGCGCCACTTATCAGCCCTTATCAGCTGTTATCACTGCCTGCCACCCACCAATAATGTTCCCATCCTGCCCCTATCTTATTGCTTGGATCCAACGTCCGGTCGTTGCTCTGGCCGGTGTTATGAATTAGGTAATCCACTCCTTCTAAGGCTCCTCGTGGTATCTTATCAGCTGTTATCACTTCCTGCCACCCACCATTAATGTTCCCATCCTGCCTCCTATCTTACTTCTTGGAACCAACGTCCCATCGTTGCTGTAACGCGCGTTATGAAGTTGATGCCCCTCCCTTCTAAGGCCCCTCATGGTATCTTTTTTATACCAACTACAATACAATTTAATTCTGCTACTCATCTGATACCTATTACAGAGAAAGCGGCCATTTGCTCTGAAACATTCCGTGTAGTCGCGATTTCTTCGCCAGTCGTTCCAGCCAAACGTTTCTTGAAGGCATCGTCTTCCCATCGCATCTGCGCCTTCCGACTGCTCTAATTTCCGGAGGGCTTCCAATTCAACAATCGAACTTCCCATCGTGTTTGATCTCTGGTCATCAGTTTATTCGCATATATCCATTTGCGTTTTCTAGCTTCAGCAACGACGTCTTTCAGCTGTGTCCTGACTCTTATAGCTGTATTCGATACCTTGTCGCTGAGTCGAAGACCGAGCATCTGTCGCTCCATTCTTCGCTGAGTTCTTCGCAGACGTTCTTCATGCGCCTTCGTTATGCCGTCTCGCATCCGTACAGTAGTGCAGGCATTACGCAGATATGGAAGAAACGTCGTTTGATCCGCATCGGCGTCATCTTGCTTCTTAGTAGAGTTCTGACTTTTCTGTGGATGTTCCATGCCGAGCTGATCCTAGAGCTGATTTCCTGACCGCGTTCCTGCGGAAAACAGATAACTTGGCCCAGGTAGACGAATGATGTTACTTGTGCAATCTCCACCTCGTTTACTCTGAGTTGATGGCCGTTGGAGCTGGTTGACATCCATTTGGTCTTATTTGCGTTCACTTCTAGTCCAGCCTCTTTGGTCGCTCTAGTGAGTTTACGGAGCATTATTTGTAATCCATCAATAGTTGGAGAGCACAGAAAAAGATCGTCAGCATATGCGAGGTAATTGAGACGATGTTGACCAATGGGGTACCCTTGATCCTCCCAGTCAATGTCGTCAAAGGCAGGAATGGAGTGTCAGAATGAACAGCAATGGAGATAGTGAATCACCTTGTCGAACTCCTCGTTGTATGTCGATCATCTTCTCTGTAGCACTGAGAGTCAGAAATGATCGGCCAGCAGCATAGAGCTGCTTTATCATCCGAATCGTACAGTCGTCTACTCCATATTTAGCTAATGCTCTCCAGATAGCATTGAATTCGATAGTGTCGAAGGCTTTTTGATAATCAACGAACACCATATGTAGTGGTTTCTTCCATTCACGGCATTTTTCCATCAACAGATTGACGGACATAATGTGGTCACGGGTGGAGAAACCGCGTCTGAATCCAGCTTGCTCAATGGGAATAGAGCTCATTACTTCTTCTTCCACACGATGAAGCTATCACCGGGTGAAGAACTTTGAAGAGCGTCGACAATAAGGAGATTGGTCTATAGTTGCCGATGTTGGAAGGGTCACCCTTTTTATAGAGAAGGATGGTTTTAGCCTTAACGAAACTTTCCGGGAAATGGTTGAGTTCGAAAATGTGGTGAGGCGGTTTGCGAGCATCGGTTGCACACATGGGCGACCAGATACTTCGTTTACACTGGATGCGGGACTTCCGTCAGCGGCCAGATGCCAGTGTTCACGAATGCCCACGGCGATGCTTTGTACAGAGTTTGTCTCCAGTAAACCGGCCGTCCCAACCCGGCCAGCTTACCAGATGGTAAACAAAAGGTCCTTGGGAGGAGCGGTAGAGCTCGTTGTAGAACGCAGCCGCGGTATCAATGGCTTCTAGTGGTGTTGTCGTCAAAGAACCATCTGCACGTTGAAGTTGTGATATTTGTTTATGCACATAGGCCAACTCGTATCTAGCATGCCTTATCCTTAGTTTTTCGATTGGCACTTTCCATGAGTCGGTCGTTGTGCTTCCGCAAATCATCTGTGAGTGACCATCGGACTTGTTTACATAGCAACGTGTATAGCAGGGGATTCGTGGAGCCATTTGCCAATCCAAACTTCTGCTTTCTTCGCTCTGCCATCAGTGCCCTTGTGCGAGCAGAGACTCGTTCCACTCGCTGCTGAGAAGTTTGAGCCAAGGTCATGCAATTTTTAGCCACCTGTAAGAAGCTTGAAATCCGGAAACCGTTTGCTGGACGGGGCTGCATTGCCATTGCAGCTTGTAGTTTCAGCTTGTCGAAGCTCTGTGGCAAGGGCCTTGCTTTTTGGTGGAAATGAGCAGGCCTTCATTGAACATCTCCAAAGTACTCGCTACCATCCGGTGATCGCCTACCAGACATTGCATCCAGAAGGCGTTGCACAGCCGACAAACTTTATGTTGGCGCCAATCAGTACTGTGGGTTATTTCAGTACGGGTGGTTCCGTTTGGGCTTCTCCATGTCCATTTTCTACCAAACCTTTTCTTGAAGAATGTGTTGGCGACTAAAAGGCCATTTGCGGAGCAGAATGACAGCAGTGTCGTGCCTCTAACGTTTCTTCTACCAGTAGCAGAGTCCGCATCCAGGCACATGGTTGGGAGAGCGTCCTATGACTGCATTGAAGTCGCCGAAGATTATTTCGGGTACAGCTGGACTTCTAAACGGATGTCGTGCTGCTTCTACCTCGTCAAGGAACTGCTCATACTCTTCATCTGCTGCGGCAGAAGTCGGCGCATGAACTTGAATAATCCTGAGACGTCTCTTTCTTATAAGGAACTCGGCTTGTATTACACGATCGCTGATGTAACGGATACCGACGAGCTTTTTGTTCATCCATGTGGACATATAAAATCCCACTCCAGCATATGTGGGGGTATCGTCGCAACGTCCACTATTGTATAATACAAAGCCTGATCCAAGTTGAAGACACTCACGGTTAGGGCGTCGGGTTTCGGATAATCCAATCAGAGTGAACTTCACTTTCCTGACGTTTGGCCTGAAAATCCGCCGGAGTCGCTGTGAAACAAAGCCGCGACGTTTGACTGCGGCCATCTTCAGTGAAGCGTCGAGCCACGGGAGTCCGCCTACTTCCAGCTTTCCGTTTGACAGCGGCGAAGTCGATCGGTGCCGAAGCGAAACCACATACGTCGATGGGAAGGCCACGATGGTATCTTATCAACTGTTATCTCTTCCTGCCACCCACCAATAATGTTCCTGCCCCACCCCCTACATTAACTTATCAATTTGAGCGCTTTATCGCTGTTTTGAAGAAAGTTATGAATTTCATGAAGTCAAACCACAGCAGACACACACACACACACACACACACACACACACACACACACACACACACACACACACCAACAGACACACTTAGCGGATTATATATAGTAGGATGATTGAGCAGTGCCGTCAGCTTATCGTCAATAATGAACCTTAAGTCCTTTACCTCTTGAATTTTCCCAAGCTCTGTTCGGTCAAGGTGGTAGGTATAGGAATTCTGACCAGGACCGAGATGTAACACAGATGTTTTCTCACGCGCAATTGGAAGACCCCACCTGCTTGGACCACGCGCTGACTACATCAATAGCATTTTGGATGATGTTCGAATCACTCGCATCAGAGACGGACCTATAAATTTTCATGTCATCGGCAAACACCTTGCAGTGGACTGCTGCATTCTCAACTAGTCTAGGAAGTTCGTATGTATAAATATTGTACAATATCGGTGACAGGACGCAGCCCTGGGGAACTCCACTGGATGCTGCTCTGACATTTGAAAAAGTCTTACCAAGCCTCACTTGAAATGTACGTTTAGTCAAAAAAGCTTCCAGCCACCCTATTATTCTATTGTGTATGCCTATATGTTGTAACTTAGCTAATAGCTTACTATGTGACACTTTGTCAAAGGCCTTAGAGAAATCGAAATAAATCACGTCCACCCCATCCCCGTTATCGATGAACCTTGTCCAGTCATTCAGCGTTTCTAGCATTTGGAGTAACCGTGGAACGGCCTTTGCGGAAAACCGTGTTGATTGTCAGACAATATGCTATTGTCCTCTAGATGAGTGACCACGACCTTCTTGAGAATTTTCTCAAAAACACGACAGATTATGGGCGAAATACTGACAGGCCTGTAGTTGGCCCGTCACATTGCAGGAGCTAATTGTTAGTCTGATACTATTATACTACAATTTCTTCCTAACTTAAAATGTTACGATCCGTACACTACGGATTATGTATCAGTGACTTTGTTGAATTTCAGTAATGACAGTCTTTCATTTTCATAGGAATTATAAACATCACGATTCCGATATCGTCCGTGCAGCGGTTCTTAGCTGAACTGCTTCCTTGATCAAGCTCACCGTGCCCCTCAATGGTCGGAGCTAGTAGTAACAGTGTTACGCGTTCACCGTCCCGTTGAAAAACTCTATTCGCGGCAAAATAGCACAAGACATTCAGAAGCGCCATGCCAGCTGTCTTCCATTCAGCGACTTCAGAACACAATGTTAAAGAGCTTTTATTTTAATCGAAGAAGAGTTACAGATGTTTGTAGATTTCATAACATGTTCTGTAAATTAGTAGCGGAAGTCGTCGCGTTTTTTTTGTCTTTTAGGGAGCGGAGCGTTCCTCATCCGTGTTTACGTGGATATCTAAATTGCAGCTGAAAATTTTGCTGTTGAAAGACAGCATTGAGAATTTGTTATAACTACGCCATCTCGTCACGACGGAGAAAACATTCCAGCATGTCACCCCTAACTTCACCAGTATCTTTTGCCATCCTTATTTGCCTTTAAACCCAATGATCCAATGGTTTCCACCCTTCCTCCCCCCTTCCGCTCGATAGTTTGCCCTTTTTGTAATGGGAGAAACGCGCTCTATGGCTATGCGAAGCTTTACCGACTGTTGTGAAGAAATATATCCGGAGGGAACACCGGAAAAGGTAGGGGAGCAAGGAAAATTCAAGAAGATAGTATGACGATGGGGAATGGGGAGAAAGGAGTCGTACCAGAGGAGGAAATTCCGAGGGATATTTTGCACAGTTCGACTGACGCGCACTACTGCTCGCATGGTTGATCCCATGATAGTGATCACTGACAGGGTTTCTGTGCTGACACCTAACACTTGGCACAATTCCTGTGTTTCGGAATTCGGCCCGTTTCATCATACATAGTTCTCCTCTTTAATGAACATTTGCCAATGTCTGGTGCTTACCACATTCAAAACTCGCCACTGAATGGAAATAGGACAGCTTAGTGTTGAAAAGGTTTCGATGGTAACAATATCGAAATCATGTGAAATGTCTTTACATCCTAGTACTTCCGCTGGCAGCTGTCACATATCCGTCTGTTGGTGACTCTTATGGCGAAACTCTCACTGGCGAACAACTTTAGGCTTTTACTTTAAACGAAAGAGTTTAGCGGTGGAATCACATCTCGACTTAAAGGCACGGTCCGCGATCAGGTATCGAAGTTGAAAATATGGCGTCAGGAGGTTAGAGTGGTCCGCGACGAACAACCTTGTAATTTCGCGGCAAAAAATTCTATGGGAGGGGCGCTGTAGCGCAATATAGGTTCAGTGGCTCCTTTTTTCCAGTGACTCCGCCTCCAGACTCTCCCCTAATGACCGACTTCCAGTGAAAAATGAGATTGCAGGACGAAAAAGCATGATAATCGCCACTTGTACGATCGTAGAAATCTTATCGGTGAATCAGCCGTGCATATGAGGGCGTAGTTTTGGAGATAGAGTTGATTGGGCACGTACAAACTGGGATCGAAATGGGGTTCTATCTAGGGCAGGTGGCATGTTTTTTGTGCTTTTTTTGTTCACAGTCGAGTTACTCAACCCCTTGTCGTCTATATGGAACCCCTAATCCACCATCTGAGATGGCGAGATCTTCCTTTAACGCTAATAAGAGATAGAAACATCCAGCTCACTAAGTCTTTGCCCACTAGTTCTTGTGCCGCGGTGGTCAACTTCAGTCGCAAGCGGAGTGAAGGTTCGAACATACTGACCCTCGTCGAGAACTACACTCATCATCCGGGCAGTTGATTAGGGCGGTCTTCAAAGGGCCGCAGACCAGCGACCGCGTGCGTAGGAACTGTTTGCGGCTATGAGCTATTTCGGCCTGTTTTAGTCATTTTCTCCCTATTTTTCACTGTCTTTGGCTGCTTTTTTCAATGTTAGGTGTTCCTTGTCTTCACAAGGTAAATTATGATTGAGTTTCTTCCAACTTTTGCGAACACTCGAACGATTAAACAAAATAAACAAATACCTAAAAAAATTGCGAAAAACACATCTTTACAGAGACAAAAAGAAGAATTCACGTCTTAATATACCTCATATAGACGATAACGGAAATAACCTCAAATAGAGAGTACAGTGAAATTTAGGGAGAAAATTTAAATTAGGCTGGAAACAGCTGATCGCCGCGGTCGTTACGCGCCGCAACAGCGTCGCGTCCCTTGGGCCGGATAATCAACTGCCCGGATGGCGACGATATATTAGACTGCGTTTATAATTACGCCAGCGCTAGAGTTTCCAGCGTTCGGCAGCGGTAGTGAAAAGGAAAGGATAGATGTTTACCTAGTTTTTGCCAGCGTCACCAGCGTGCGCTAGCGTTGCGCCAGCGTGTGCTAGCGTTAGGCGCTGGCGCCCGCTGGTGACGCTGGCGGACGCTAGATCGATATCTATCCTTTCCTTGTCACTGCCGCTGCCGAACGCTGGAAACGCTAGCATACGCCACCGCAAAGTATGAACGCAGCCTTACAACTCGTCTCCCACCATCAATGTTCCCTATCCACCTTCGAGTCGTTTACTGGAAGCAGTTCCCCAGTGTTGCTACTACGCATTGAAAGTTGGAAAAAAATTCAATTATATTCACGTACGGTTTTTTCAGCGGCGGTTCGTTCTTGACCGGCCAGTTCAATGCATTTTGTACGTTTCCATTTGTTCCAACTGCTTTATTTCCTTGCAGTTTTGCTGGGACAACTCCAACAGCTCTCACGCCTTCTTCTGGTTTAATTTTATTAGCCACTGGGGTTTGAAAGAAACCTCCGTGTGAAGAAGACCGTCTTTGTATGATAACGTTTTTTCTACCGTCCATTTTGAACAGCGGGTTCACTTGGGCATTGATCTCCATTCTATTATGCGAAACTTTCCGTCGTTCCAGCTCCAGCTTTGGTTCCAAGTCTGCTCCTTTTTGGCTTTCTCTTTTTCGTAGTTTCAGCATTTGCTGTTTATCTTCCACTGGAACACCCGCTTTGACCTGTCTTTTTTCGCCATCATAGCCCTTTTCTCTTTGTTCACAGTCAAACTTCTTTTGTTCTCTGGATGGAACGACTTTGTTTATTGCAGGAAATTGTACCTTTTCCTTAGAGTAGGGCTGCTGAACTCCCATCCAAAGCATTCCCTTGGAAGAGTGCCTTCTTCTTGGATGTTTCACGTCGTAGAAGTCTTCCACTGGAGCGTTCAGTTGTTCCTTTGATAGCTTTTTAGGGAGCTTTGACCCATGAAGGGGAACCCCTTCCATTGGAGCAGCCAATTGTTCTTGCATAGGTTTTTTAGGAAGCTTTGGTAAAAGAAGAAAACGATCTTCAAATGGAGCGGCTAGTTGCTCTTGGGGTGGTTTTTTAGGTAGCTTTAATCTACGGAGAGGACGTCGGACTTCCAGTTCCTCAGGGCGCAACTTTTCTCTTAACATGGGGTCTAAATAGGCACTTTCGACTTGTTTATCCTCAGGATCACTCTTTTCTTTTTTCTCACGACTTACACGAGGAGATTGAGCACTTTTTTCCTTATGCGCCTGAACAGCTCCCAGAGCTTCCTTCCGAATGTCACGTTTCTCAACGTAATCTCGACACTTTTCTGCAGGGCCTTCCGGATTTTTGTTGATATCCTCGTCTTCCAGTTTTTGCGTTTCTTGTTCTAGAGATGAATCGAATTCCGGGTAGTCTTCTGGAGCCAGTGGCAAAACATCTACTGGGTTGCGTCGTTTTTTCAATTTCAAAGTCTTCCCTTCACCTTTGATGTAGGGCATTTCTTTACCCCAGTTACTTACAACATCCTTTATGGTATCGTCATCATTACTCGATGACGTAGAAGCAGATTGTTCTGAATACGATTCATTGATGAGGTCTTTCGTGATCTAACTACTGCAAATTTACCTTTTTTAGGTTTTTCCTTAACAGGCTTTCGTGGTTTCTTGTGCTTTTTTTTCTTCCGTTTCCCCCGCGGTTTTCTTTGGTGTCGACCAGCATCATGTCTTCCTTTTATTGCCCTCGCTGAGTGTGATTCGGTATCCTGGAACCGCTATTTGAAATCAGTACTTCGTTGAAATTGTTTTTTATTGGCACAGAAGGAACCATCGAAAAATTCTCCTGTAAAAGAAAGAAAATTGGAAAATTAGAAGAAGAAATAGAAAGAAGAAATAGACATAGGTAGAGAAACTAGTGCAAAACGATGGTTTGTTTCGTCCCTTACCTCAGACAAACCATTGTGATTCCGTTTACCCCGGGACTCCTCAGTGAGGTAGGATAGACGGAATTTGTGTGTTGCTTTTGCTGTTTGCTCAACACTGTTCACGTCCAGTATCGAGCATGTGGAGTGCTAGCTAGTAGCTAGCAACCGGTGAGGGTAGGCATGGGCCCAAGGGGTACCCATGGGCCTAATTGGTCAGCTTCCAGCTCTCAGCTTCACTTTTTGAAGGTAGCGCAGCCTCCAGAATCGCTCTCTGGATCATCTGATACATTTGAGAGGTTACAGCCTGATTTTATTGCGGAAAGTGCTTTCAAGGCAGTCTCCGCGCTCAATCACTCGTAGAGTCCTTGTGCAGGCAATCCCGTCCTCATTCTCCAACATTATACCACTTTCACGGCTCCGCACTAGGTAACGAAGGCGCTGCGTCCCTCATGAGTGGCAATTGTGACTCCTTCCTAAATGTACCGCCTACCAAAACCCGAAGGCTATTTCTTGTCATGAGCATAGCTTTT